GCTTCGACACCGATCCCTCCATATTAATTAATTAATTAATTTATTATTATTATTATTAATCGGTTATTATTATTAATATTATATAAATAAATTATTTTCGCGTGTTTATAATGAATTTTCCATTTTTTTTATATAAACTTATTACGTACGCGTGTATTTATTATAATTAAAACGTTTGTTGTGATCTAAAAAAAAATGCAAATTTTTACGTTTCATGTGTTGTTCGCGTATGTGTGTATATGTTTCCGTTTGTACGTACAACGACAAACATAAAAACAAATTTTTTAAAAAAATTATTATTATTAATAATTCGAACGGGAATCCCAGAGCGTCTTGTGTGTACGTGCGTGCGTGCGTGTGTGTGTGTGTGTGTAAATGCATTCTATATAAAACATTTTAAAACATTAATTACGAAATAAATGACAGATGGCCATTTTTATTTTTTTCGTTTGAATCGAATAGAAAAAAAAATTATTATTATTATTTTTTTTGTAGTGAGTGAATTTATTATTATTAAATATTGATTTTTTAAATATTTATTTAAATGATCGAAATATTATAATAATAATAATACGTACGCGTATATACACACACACACACACACACACTTACATACCAAAATTACAAACGAATGAAATAAAGAAATAAAAAAAAAAAATGATTTTCTTTTCATCATCGCCATTACATAAAAAATAATTTTTTTTTATTTGGATTGATTTTGGATTGATACACACACACACATATTTATTTTTTCCGGGTTTGTATTTTTTATTTTTTTCCCCCCCCAACTGCAATATTATTATTATTAATAATTCGAATTTTACTATTGTTAATAATAATAATAAATAAATTTTTTATATGAATTAAAATGGCTGGATTATATTTTGGATTGTTTTAAATTTGATTGTTTGAAAAAAAAAAAAAAAAAAAAAAATGAAATTAATCCACACATACATGCATGCATAAACCATTTGGATTTAAATTTATCATTATCATTATTATTATTATTATTATTATTATTATTATTATTATTATTATTATTATTATTATTTTTATTAATTTTATATATATAAATATATTCGGTGAACATGATTAGAAATTTAATTTAAGAATTGTGAGGTGTAATTAATATATGTAGGTGTGTGTGTGTGTGTGTGAGTTTGTCTTGCCTGCTTTTATTATTCTTCATTTACACATTTAAAATATTTTCTTTGTCTTTTCATTTTTTTTATTAAAAATTTTTTATCGATATTTCACAACAAAAAAAAAATTATTATTATTATTAGTAATCATAACAATCAATGTTTGCAATCGCTATGAATTATTATTATCATTGAATTTCAAAAAAATTTATGTTTTGTTTTTCGTTTGGGGGGGGGAAATTTTTTTAAATTTATCATTCACACTTATTATTATTATTATGTGTGTAAAGTAAAAAATGTTGGTAAGATGTCAATTATTATTATTATTATTAATAATTGCAAAACGATATTATGAAATGTTTTCTTTTGTGCGATTTGATTACTTTGATTGAATTCATATTGGAAATGAATTTTTGTGTGCGTATTTGTAATCATTTAGGGATTTTTAGCTATTATTATTATTATTACTCTCACTGTAAGTAATTATTTTCATTTTATTTAGTAAGGTTATCATACATACTTTTTGTTTCATGTGTGTATATCTGTGTATGTGTGTGTGTATGTGTGTGTGTGTGTGTGTGTATGTGTATGTGTGTGTGTGTGTGTGTACATAACAGTGTGATTTCGAATCAAACATAAAGAGTATGGCTTTTTGCTCGACATTACAAAACTAATTACATTTAATATTTCAAAATGTAGGTTATTGTACAGTACCTGTCATAATGGAGTCACCACATAATTAGGCTATCAAATAGTTTCGATTACTTGCTTTACATGAATTTTCACTCTTTTTTATTTATTTGTTTAAGAAATAATATTCTGATTTTTTGTGTGCCATCTGTAAAAAAATAATAATAATAATAATAATAATATTTTATTATTGTTTTATTTTTATTTGTCGATTGTTTTAAATTTTCAATGAGTGTTGTTACATAAAAAAAAAAATTTATAATCAGTCATATTGAATTTTTTTTTTTTGTGGTAATAATTTCAAGGATTTTAATGAAATCGAAAAAGAATTCGACAAATGTAAAAAAAAAAAAAAGCTTTTTTCTTTGCTTATGTTACCATTTTTTTTTTTAACTCGAGTGTTATTTTTCTTTTAAACAATAATTCATAATAATAGCAATAATAATAATAATAATAATAATTTTATCAGGCATGCTAAACATCTAAATTATTTTTTAAGGTATTTTTTGTTTTACTGTATAAAGAGAACAAGTATGGATTTTAGAAAAAAAAAGGTTACATTAGTTTTTTTTAAATTAATTAATTATAAATTTCCTTAAAAATTGATAATTATTTTTTTTTTAAACCCTAATTATTAAATATTTCTCACAATTAATTAATTTAAAAAAAAAAAAAAAAAGAAAAAACGAATTTTTTCATTTTATTGTTCGTTTGTTTTTTTTTTTAGCATTAGATTATGAAACAATTTTACGATTTCGTAATGATTAAAAAATATAAGATTTTGTGAGGTTTTATTATTATTATTATTACTATTATTATTATTATTATTATTATTAATTATTAATTATTATTATTATTATTACGCTCAAACATTCTGATAATGACACATATTTGAAATTAAAAATAATTTATTAATAATAATAATAACGTTAACACCGAAAGCCAATAATAATAATAATAATAATGTAATTGAAATAAAAAAAGAAGAATTTTCATAGTATGTGATAATACAAAAATTCAGTCGGGGGAGGGTGAGGGGAGGGTAAGGGGAATGGTTGAGAAGAGGGGAGGGGAATTTGCACGTTATTTTTACAAAAATATAAAATTACAAAATACATTTTACAAAAAATTGATAATAAAAAAAAAAAGAAAAAATGTCCCTAGAAAACATTACATTCGATCGAAAGAGAGAAAGAGAGAGAGAGAGAGAGAGAGAGAGAGAGAGAGAGAGAGAGAGAGAGAGAGAGAGAGAGAGAGAGAGAGAGAGAGAGAGAGAGAGAGAGAGGGGGGGGGGGGAGGGGGGAAAAAGAAAAAGGGAACTATTTAAATTACTTTGCAAGTTTTTCATCAAAATCAATAATAAACAAAGTGAAGTGAAAATTTTCATTTATAAGAGAGAGAGAGAGAAAGAAAATTATTTTCTATTTTTCCTCCTGCATTTGAAATAAAGAAAGAAAGGAAAGGAAAGGAAGGAAAGAAGAATTTTTTTTTAAAAAAATTTTTAAATTCGTTTTTTCTTTACGTTATTTTAAAAAATCGTGTGCGTGCGTGCGTGCGTGTGCGTGCGTGTATGCATATTCCCTAACGAGGTACTTTAAATAAAAATTAATAAGAAAAATAATTTGAGAAGAAAATTTAGTTTCGTATCGATCGATCCATCGATCGATTTATCGATTTTTACCACGATATGTAAATAATATTATTAACCATTACCATTGTTAGAAAAAAAAAAAAAAACGTAACGTAACGTATATATATATATGCATGCGACAAATGTAAAGTCAAATGTAAAGAATTGAAAAATGCAATGTCGGACAGATGTTTTCTTTTTTTTTTTTTTTTTTTTTTTTTTTATTTGAAATTCATAAATATATATATATATATATATATATATATATATATATATATATATATATATATAAAATAACCTCTGCCTTTGGGAATTTAATGTACTCACATATACGACATGTTTCGATTTCATTAATCACCTTTCAAAAAAAAAAAATTTTAATTCTATGGCTACTACATATAAATATGTCGTGTTTATATTTAAACGTTACAGAAAATTTAAATTAATTTATTAAATTGAAAAAAAAAAACCTAAAATAAAACGTGTTCGCACACGCGCACGCACGCACACACACACACGCACAAATGGGTATTGAATGCATATAAAAAAAAAAGAAATTCTTAAAAAGTTTAATTTGGTACGACGAAGGGTTGATTCTTCGTTTGTTAGTTGGTTGGTTGGTTGGTTGTTGTTGTTGTTGTCGTCTCATTCACCCCATTCGAGTAATTTATTTATTTTTTATTTTTTTTTCTTACTTTTTAGTCCCCTTGGGGAAGTGAAAAACAAAAAATTCTACTCCACCAAACTCTACTCTACTCCACTACGCCATATTTATTTATATATTTTTTATATTCATTCGAATAGAATTTTCGGTTTGTTTTAAAATTTTAACTTTTTTGTTTAAATATAAGAAAAAAAAAATAAAAATGGCTTACTTAATGAAATTTATTTAGCTGGAGTGTTTTCAAAATTTTTTTTTTTTTTTCTTTTCACATTTATCGATTAATTCGTTTTTTTTTTTTTTTTTTTTTTTTTTGTCTTCTTTTCAAATATAAAAAAAGAAAACTTTATTTTAATTAAAACGTTTTTAATAATGTAAAGAAGAAAATGATTTTATTTTACTTTTTTTTATAAAAAGAAAATTTAAATTTCGTCGTATTATTATTATTATTATTATTATTATTATTATTATTATTAATTATTATTATTATTATTAAAGAAATGAATTTTTTTTTTTTTTACTCGTCGTTGTTTTCATGCAGATTGATTTTTTTTTTTTTTTTGGCTTTCAACCGTTAACTCAAGAGTCATTTAACATGAAATAATATTGGTATCAGTTGACCCCCCCTCTCTCCCCCTCCCCCTCCCATGAATTAATTTTTGTTATTTGGCTTTCGTCACGCATATCAAAAAAAAAAAAAAAAAAAAAAAAAGTTTGGATGTATAATTTTAAAAAACTTACGTTTGATTAAAAGTCCACAATCCTCCACAGCGTGTGTTTGTTGTCTTTTTGAATTTTTTGTAATTTTGTTTGTTTGTTTGTTTCCAGGTAAAAATTTTTTTTGTACGAGTTTAATCTCATCAAATAATAATTAAACATGGATAAAGAAAGTTGTTCTCCCGATTCGGAAAGAAGAGATAAATCAGCATTTTTGGATGCCGCCCGAGCTTTAGATCCATCAAGTTTGTTTGCTTATTGGCCAAGAGGTGATTCTGGTACATCGGCTGCAACAAACGGTAAAAATTTATTTATTTAAAAAATAAAATAACGGGGGAGGGGAGAGGAAGGGAGGGGTGAGCGTGACAGCATATCGATAAATTTTTTTTTTTTTTTTTAGCTTTGTTTGGACCCTACGGTTCGGGGAATCCTTTAGTTCCAGGAAGGAGTTCATACGGAACCTCTGGAAACAATGTCAACGTTCCTAATTCTGCAGCTTATGGTAATACACTAAGCGTTGCTGCAAGTCAAGCAGCCAGTCTCGGTATTAATCCAGCAAGTGAGTATTAAAGAAAATTCGATGTGTGTAAATGCATATTATATTGTCTTAACCGGTGCAATTTTCACTTTTAGGTGCCGCTTGGTGGACTGTAGCCTCTCATTTAGCCGCTCAGGATTATTTAGCTCGGCTACATGGCATGAGTTTTGCCAATCTGCCTGGAGCAGAAGCACTTTATCCAAATTTTTTACTCACTCCTCCGAGTCATAACGCTACGTTGTCTGGAAAATCTTCCAAATCGAATTCTACCTCAACGGTTAGTTAATTAAATATAGTTTTTCTGATTGCGTACGAGCGATATGAATATTAAAAATAAATACGACTGACTTGTTTTCAGTTATCGTCTTCGAGTACAAAAAGCCAAATCTCATCTAGTTATACTGGTTCAGAAAAAGAAAAAGAAAATTGGACTTCGAGTGAAAAAGTTAGAGATAGGGATAAGGAAAAAGAAAGAGACAGAGATAGGGAAAGAGATAAAGAAAAAAGTCGGGAAAGAGAAAGAGAAAAAGGGGAGAGGAATAAAGATAATAGTAGTAGTAGTAGTTATAGTAAAAATTCTGTTTCTGGTTCTTCGACAAGTAAATCAGATCATTTAGCCAGTATTGCTGCTTTAGCCAACTCGGGCACAAGTGTGTCTCCTTTTCCGCCTCAAGCTCATTCAAGTGCAAAGTAATTATTAAATTTTCAATAAATAAACGAACAAAGGTTTAAATTATATATAACTTGATTCATTTCGTTTTAATTTGCTTCAGCGATTCCACGGGAGTGTTAGGAGGAGTGCGTCTACCGCCCGACACCGAAATTATTAAATATACATCTTCGATAGGAGGACCGAAAATTCCGGGGACTACAAATAGAGGAAGGAAAAAAACTATATCTTTAGATCCTCCAAGTGTATCTGTGATGCCAACGCATAGTTCGACTGGAATTCCAATTGATCTTGGTCCACCATTTAAAACTCAGGTAAACTTTGGTCAACGTACACGCGTAAGAAAATTTATTATTTTCCATCATTTCGTTATCGTCAATAAAACGTTCCAGACTCTCACCGATCCAGATGGTGCAGATCACGTTGAAGTTATAAAACTTCCCGCGCATTCATCGAGTAACGGAATCGTTTCGGTTGAGCCTTGCAGTGAAGGTCCTCTTAATTTGTGTACAAAATCTCGTAACAAAGATGAAGTTATCATAGAAAAAGATAGAATTTGTGAGTTGTTTTCAAATTAATTGAGAAAATTAATTTTTTTTTTTTCAATCAAAATTAACATTTTTTTTTTTTTTTTTTAACGATATAAATTTAAAGCTCGAAGAAAACCCGTACCTAAACAAAGGCGACTTCCAACAAACGAACCAAATCCAATAACTTCTTTGTCAGCCATGTCTCAACTTTTCTCATCCGAAAATACTTCGCCTGCTGGTGTTGACGAGGATGTTGAAACCGTCCAAAAGGTACAAAAAAAAAAAAAAAAAAAAAAATCAATTTTTAACCTATCCCACAGGAGTATTACCGTCGAAATGTCTTTCTCGAAATCGATCAAATTGTTTTTTTCTTGTTCCAACAGGACGGGCGACCGAGAAATTTGGGACGCGGAGTATCCAAACCGAAAAAAAATACCGTAGCATCTTTGCTTGCTCAAAGTAGAGCTTTGGGCCTCAAAGGTTCTTTGCCCGTAGATTTTGCAACCCAATTAGCATCATTAAATCCTTCTCTACCTCCAGATTTATCTAGCCAATTAGCTTTACTACAAAATTTCCAGGCAACTATGGAGGAGGAACCAATCGAAAAACGATCTCAAACTCCAGAAAATACAGCACCAGTAAGATCTATTTCAATTTGAAAAGTTTTACAAATTTCTTTCCATTTATTTAACGTTTCATTGATTTCTCACAATTAAAGGTTTTCGACGAAAAAAATAGAGTTAAAACGAGTGAAGATGGTAGTTTTACAACCGATTCGGCATCAACCGGAGGAAGCGATTCCGAGTCGGAAAATGGTAACAAAGTATCGAAAACGAAAAAAGATGTGAAAAAAGACGTCACCGTACCGGAAAGTATTAAATTGCCCGGAGATAAAAATTTTCCGACGGTAAAAATCAAAGATGAGTACAAGGAAAGAAAATCTCCACAGGCTACCCTAGTGGATGTAAGTACAATGTTTTTACAATGTATTTCGAGCGAGTTTTAAGTACAAACTATCTCTATTTGTGACTGTTTTATAGGAACAAATTTTGTTCACGAAAGAAATAAATAAGCAAAAGGAATTATTGTATGCCGTCGAATTAGAAAAAGAAAGAAGACGACAACACATGATTCTGGTGAGAGCTTTGGAAGCCAGAAAGAAAATCGAAGAGAGAGAAAGGAAAAGGATCGAGCTACGAGCTGAAAAATTAGCAAAACACGAAAAAAAATTGGAACAAAGAAAAATCGAATTGGAATTATTAAAAGAATTGAGGAGGCCGACCGAAGACATGGAACTGGACGGTAAAATCCGCCGGATTTTTTTTTTTTTTTTTTTTTTTTTTTTCCGTACCCCCCAAAATACGTGTGTAACGGATTTTTTGTAAAATTTTCCAGATTTAAAACCGTTTCCCGAACTCGACAGAATTCCCGGATTGAAATTATCTGGTCAAGCTTTTGCCGACACTCTTATGGTTTTCGAATTTTTACATAATTTTGGTGAAACTTTAGGATTCGGTGAGTCTACCGGTCAAACCGTTTTTAAAGAGAAAAAACAAAAAAAAAACGCGAAGCAAACCAAAATTTTGTTTTTAAAAAATATAGATATGGATAGCTTACCGACGTTGAGTAACCTTCAGGGAGCTCTTCTCAACGATGAAGAAAACGAAGAAGAATTGTTGTCGATAATGACGCATTTGTTGGTTTGCGCCATAGAAGATCCCGGAATTCCAAATCCTGCAAGACACATAACGCTATTAGGTCAAAGTTTAAAACAAGCCGACATAACGCATACGAACATATCAGAAATATTAAGAATATATTTGTATGCGAACGCGACGGGAGAAGTCAAAGCTTTGACAGGTGAGATTTATTCATTTACTTATCACGCACAATTTTTAAATTTTTATTATTATTGTTATTATTTTTTTTCTTGTTAAGGTTTAAATTTTGAAAGAGATCGGGAAAAAAAAATTTCCGAACATCATAATTTATACGGGGAAGAAGCGCTCAATCAAAACTTTGGTAAAAATGCGGCTTTTTTTGAAAATTTACACGAAAACGCGACGTATAAACTGTCGGAAGAATTGAAAGAAAAACCGTTTCTCGCTTTAAATCCCACTACGAAAAGTGCTATCTTAGCTTTTATTTGTAACGAACTCCTACAAAATAAAGCCGTGCTTCGACAAATAGAAGGAAGTTTAGAAACTGTGATATTATCAAGGAGAGAAAGATGGGTTTTGGATCAAAGTATTAGGTTGTACTAATAATTTTCCTTTTTCGTACGTGTGTCAAAGGTCAATCAACTTATTTGAATTTTCTTTTTTTTTTTTTTTTTTTTTTGTTGTTAATTAGAAAATTAAGGTGTTTACACGATCGACAAATAAAATATTCAATTAATTTTAAAGAAAAAGATAATTTAATGAACGTTAATTCTCATGTAAATCCGTCTACGACTGCCTTTAAAGAAAAAACAACGGATGGTGTGGATAGCGATGTCGAAAGTTCGGTTGAATCCGATCACGAATCGGAAATGACGCAACCTGAAGAAGTGAGTATCATAAAAAATACCTATTTGAATCTATCAAAAAAAGTTTTGAAAAAAGAAAAAGAAAAAGAAAAATGGTTTTCAGGATGATCAGCAACAAAATTTAAATACGGAAGAAGTAACTAAAAGATTGGAAAAATTGTTGAAGCAACAGGAAAATCAAATAAACAATTTGAAAATATCGAATCAACAAATCAGAGCCATGTGTTTGGGTCAAGATAGGTTTTGGAGAAGGTATTGGTGTTTGCCCAAGTGCGGTTCAATATTTATAGAAGGCATGGAAAGCGCTCAACCGGATGAATTTAGCGACGGGGAAGAAGAAAAGGTAAATTGGGAAAATTTTTTCTCGATACCTTAACAAAATCAATTAATAATAATAATAATAATAATAATTTGAATTTGAAGATGCAATTAACACACACTGAAGAAAATCAATCCAAGCCTACGGATTCATCCGAAATGAATGACAACGGGAAGAGTGATAACGAAGAGAAAAATTTAAAAGCAGACGATGTGAATAAAAATTCAAGTGGTTCGAATAAAAGAAAACCCAACAAACGTAAAGGAGGAAAACCTTCGGAATGTAGGCAAATTAAAAAGAACAAAATTGACCAAAGTGAAAACAGCGAAAGCGACGTTTCGGATAACGAAAAAATGAATGAAGAAATAGAAGAAGATAGTAATATGAGTGAAGTGAATAACGATGATAATGATAATAAATTGGAAAACGCAAACAACGAATGCTGCGACATTCAAAAATGTTCCGATGTGGAAATGACGGAAACTAAAATTAAACAGGTTCGTGCTCGAACCTGCTGAATTACCTGCCTAACCTGCGTTAAAAATTTTACAAATTGAAATGATAATAACACGCTTGATATTCATTACAGGAAGATTCTGTGGAAAAAGAAACCAACGTTCAAAATACAGGTGAAAACGATGGGAAAACAACGGAGGAAAATGAGAAAATAAAAACGGAGGAAGTTGAAGAGTCTGACGTAAAAAAACTTGATAAAAAGGAAGAAGAAAATGAAGTGAAAATTGAAAAAATGGACTGCGACGATCAGGGAGAAGAATCGATTAATCTTAAAATAAAAAGCGAAATCGAACCGGATAAAAACGAAGACAAATCAACGGTGATTGAGTCTTCTACGAAAGAAGCAGAAGACGGGGAAAAAATTAAAACGGAAGAATCAAACGGTAAGTTTTGTGACGTAATCGTCGTAAAAAAATGCCTTCTTTTTTTGTCTCAATAAATAAAACGGGTCGTGTTAAATTTATAGGTTTAAATTGCACCAAAGAACATTTGGACACCGTTAACAAATGTTCGAATAATGAATTACACGTTAAAGAAATTGTAAATAAATGCAAATACGAAGATGATCCCCTAATGCAAGCGATGAAAAAAGAATTATCGAGCAGAATATTTGGATCCCCGAGTAATTCTATCAAAAAGGAAGAATTCGAAGATCCCAACAATTATAGAAATTCACTGAGTCCGCTCATTGCCGATGAAAAATTTCTCAATTTCGGAAACAACTTGAAAGAAAACGAAACGGATTATCAATGGTTTAGTATTATACCTAAAGAATCATGCGATCCGAGATCTCAAATGCTGAGTAAGGAATAATTTTATACGAGAGAGAGAGAGAGAGAGATAGGAGAGTTTAAACGTTTGAAAATTTGTTTTCAGATAAATCCGACAGCCACAAATTACCCTTACCGATAAATGTTCGGGCAAGAACGGGATTACCCCCATCTCCGGGTCCTCTCCCCTTATGCGACAGTCCCGCTCCGTTAATTCTTTCACACGAAGAAGCAACCATGTTGGAAATATTAAAAACATCCGGTCCGAAACCTCCTCCCGTACGGAAACCGATACCCAAACGTAAATATATATACCCTACATTGATTTAAACGTTATAAAAATGGCTCCCCCTCCCCAAAAAAAAAAAAAAAAAACTAATATTTTTCTGTTTTTTTTTTTTTTTTTTAAATTAGACGTACGAAGGGGTTGGTGGCGCGTGAATGACGAAGATCAATTATTTCACATATTAGAATGTTTGCATACTCGAGGGATTAGGGAAAAAGAATTGAAAAGAATTTTAACGAGGTATTTAGAAGACAATGTAGAAATAGGAGGAAAGGTGAGAAAGTTTTATAAAAAAAAATTTCTTCTCCGTACCTTAACCGGGAAAAGAAGTAAACAAATTTTTTTTTTTTTTTTTTTCATTTTTTAGTCGACGACATTGAAAGCTAACAGTGATCTAGTAGATTTAGATGGATCGGGTGATTTTAACGACAGGGTACAGTTTTTAGATGATGGTGCGCCGGCAAAGGACGAGCCACACTCTTGGGATCCGCAAGTTTTCGAAAGGGTTGACAATTTGATGTTGGAACAAGTGAGATGAAATTTTCTTTTTTTTTTTTTTTAAAGGGTTTTAAAAACTTCTCGAACTAAAATTTTTTTTTTTTTTTAAGATGGAAAATTTGGAAGACAAAGTTGCCAGCGCTTCCATGCAGGTCAAAGGTTGGAGAATTCCCAATCGCGCAAGCGATGTACCTAACGAGGGAAATTCAAAAAAATGTAAAACTGAACCGATAGACATTGCAAAACAAAGATTAATTTCATTGGAATCCGCCATTGAAAGACGTTATTTAAAACCTCCTTTGGGATTTTCAACGGGTGAAGGCGGGATCGGAATACAAGCCGATCAAGATGAATCAATTCCCAAGGGTAAGAAGGACTTTTCCTAATTATTTTTTTTTTCCCAATGAAAAAACAAATGAAATGAAAATTTTTTTTATTAGGTTTGGGAATATGGAGAGATGCAGTTTTGAAATCTCATACGGCAGCTCAATTGTCCATGGCTCTCTACATGCTCGAATCCTGCATTGCTTGGGATAAAAGTATTATGAAAGCGGTAAAATTTTCCCCTCGTTACCCTCACTCGTATACGCATCATTCTAGAAATTATTGAACTTGATTTTTTACACGCGCCTATCTATTTTCAGAATTGTCAATTTTGTCAAAGTGGAGACAACGAAGACAAACTCTTGCTGTGCGATGGTTGTGATCGAGGTTACCACATGTATTGCTTTAAACCGAAAATGGAGAGCATTCCCGACGGTGACTGGTATTGTCACGAGTGTAAAAATAAATCTAACGGAGAAAAAAATTGCATTGTGTGCGGGAAACGACCGATTAAAAATTACGTAATATGCGAACATTGTCCCAGGATATACCACATAGAATGTTTAAATCCTCCTTTATCAAAAGTACGTCTCTAGCATTCATGTAAAAAAAATAATAATAATAATAATGAATTCGTAATCAAATGGCTTAATTTTCTTTTTTTTTGAAAAAAGGTTCCACGAGCTAAATGGAATTGCGTAACCTGTGCCATTAAATATCCTAAAAAAAAATGCGGTCGTAAAGTGGGTTGGAGAAAAAGCCGAGAATCAAAGCACAAGGAGGATAGAGATCATCGCGATCAAAACAACAGGTACGTGTTATTTTCATCAGGTGCGAATTATCGTGCCAAGAAATTAAATACGCCAATGTAAATATTTATTTATGGTATATCGATATGAATATAGCGTTAACGATGAGAAAACAAACGATACCCTCGAATCGACGAGAAATGACGATAGATCGGGAAATGAAAGCGACGGAGAAGACACCCCCCTCCTTTCGACGAAGGTTAAAGATCAAAAAGAAAAAGAATGCGCTCCCCTAAGTCCGATACCAAGCGCAACATGTTCAGATTCAGCGGTTAGCGACGAACCCCCTCCCCTATCACCTCAACAACCGACAGGAGTAACAATAAAAAAAGAAAGGCTTAGCAAAAAATTATGTAAAGAGCTAAATGCTTGCAAGGTTAGAATTTTGAAATCAGAAAAAGAAAAAAAAAAAAAAAAAAAATCATTCGTAATTAAATAATAATAATAATAATAATAATAATAATAATAATAAATGAGCATTAAAAAAAAATAAATAAAGATAAAATATAAATAATAATAAGAAAAAAAAAAAAAAGAAAAAAAAAAAATATAAGACGTGAAAAATGTGTTTTTTAGACAATAGTTGAAGAAATGGAACTTCAAGATGAAGCGTGGCCATTTTTACTTCCCGTTAATACAAAACAATTTCCAACGTATAAAAAAATAATAAAATGTCCGATGGACATATCAACGATAAAAAAACGTCTCACAGATGGAATGTAAGATATCGAAACATAATTTCTTTTTTTTTTTTTTTTTTTCTTAAAATTAAAATATATGTTGGAGAGAAACTTACTCGGTTTAACGTATTCCCCCGTTTGATTTCCAGGTACAAAACAAAGGAAGAATTCGTTTACGACGTGAGACAAATATTTAACAATTGCGAAACATTTAACGAAGATGATTCTCCCGTTGGAAAAGCCGGTCACGCAATGAGATCCTTTTTCGAAACAAAATGGGGAGAATTGACGAATCAAAAATCGACTCCATGACCACCGGCTTAATTGTCCCTTCCCTTTTTTTAGGCTATCATTACTTAAACAAAAAAAAAAAAAAAAAAAAAAAAAAGAAAAATTTGTTATATATATATATATATACACACACATTACGATTATTATTATTATTATTATTATTACTTTAAAGAGTGACGAACATTTCACGACAAACAATGATGATAATAATAATAATAATCGAATGAAAAAAAATGGTGATAATAATAATATTATTTTATAATCGACATAAACGTGACATGACATTTAACTTTGACATTAGATAAAAGTTTTTAATATTAATTTTAGTACAACAACAAGAAAAAAAAAAAAATGAGAAGAAAATGATTGATTGATTGATTGATTGATTGATTTTTAAAGGGAAAAAACCCTTTTTTATTTTATTTTTACTGCAAAAAATAAAATGTGTAAAATTAGAAAATTAAAAAAAAAAAAAAATAGAAAAATGAATGAATGAATGAATGAATGAAACAATAAAAAAAAAAAAAAAAAAAGCTTTAAAAAAAACAAAAACGAAAAAAATGTTAATAAATTTTCCTTTTTTTTTTATTTTATTTTTTTTTCAAATTGATTAAAATTAATAAAAGCTCACAATTGTATTTATTATTATTATTATATTATTATTTATAAATTTTTATTTATATATATATATATAAATAATTTTTTTTTTTTACTGAAACTTATTATTTTATTTTTTTTTTATAAAAATTATTATTATTATTATTATTTTTTTTTTTTAATATTGTTTGGGGTTGGATGGGTTTAAAAAATTTTTTAAAATAATAATAATAATAATAATAATAATAATAAAACAAAACAAATTCCTATGTGAATGGTTTCGTTTTGAAGCTTTTTTTTTTTTTTTAAGTTTTTTTTTATTTTTTTTTTTTTAAGTTCAATTTTTTTTTTTTTTTTTGTTTTGTTTCTCTTAAATTGTAAACGATTGATTTAAATTTATTATTTATAAGTAAAAAACAAATTAAAATTAAAAAAAAAAAAAAAAAAAAAAAAAGTTAAAATTATAAAATTAGGATTTGAATTGATTTGATTTTTATATTTTTGTAAATAGTATTATATTAATATTGAATGAAAATAAAATGGTGATTGGATTAATTATCTGTGTCTATTATTGTCTCTTTTTCTTTCAATGTCTCTCCAAGGTCAATTATTATTATTATTATTATTATTATTATTTTCTTTAAACGGTTTTTTATTGTAACTTACAGAATTCGTTTTAAGTAAATTTAAGGGTAAAATTTTGTTTATCCATTGTCAATTATTCCGTTTTATTTAAGATAAAAGTAGAAAAAACCTTTTTTGCACATTTCAACCTTTCGAAAATGTAGAAAATGTTTAAAATTTTCAAAAAAAAGAAAATTAACAAATTTGAATTCCGTTACATTATATTTGACACCACTTTTTAGAAATTTTGCAATTGTTTAATTAATAATTTGCCTTGAGATAGTTATTGTAATAATAAATAATATATCATTAAATGTTAAATAATAACTTACGCAACAATTAATAACGTTTTTTCCCATAGATATTTGTATAATTTTACACTTTTTAACAAATAAATCCGCCCGACAAAAAAACGGCAAACTTTAGCAAAGGAACCTTACTAGAGTACGTTCAGAAATTAATTTTTATTTCGGTACACTAGCGCATTCTACAACAAAAATTCAAAATGGAGGATGTAAATTTAGGAAACGTTGTTATTCAACCTATGGAACATCATAAAAGATTGGGTCATTGTTTTACTAGGCCAGCATACAGAAGGGGAAATAAACCGACCGCCGTAAAAGTTAGTTATCTCGAAATGTAATTATTAATTGATTAATTATTAAAAACTTATTACGATTTTTTTTTGTAACGGTTCAAACCATTTTGTTTATTTACTTTTGACATTTAGGCTTATACAATAAACGATGAATCTCAACATTTATTAGTTTTCGGTGTACCGAGTTTAAAATTAGATAAAGAATTATCGAAAAGATTTTCTAAATATGGACCTGTAAAATCTGTAAAAAGGGTTCAATATCCCGATGTGGAACCATTTACAGAAGTTTTTCACATTCAGTATTTAAGTCTTTCAAATGCAAGGTAATATTTATAATTTTTTTTTTTTTCACTAATTTACTTTGAGATTTATGAGTTAAAACGTTTTTATTAATTACAGATTTGCTAAAAAAAAATTAGACGATATGTCATTCTATGGTGGTATTTTACATATTTGTTATGCACCTGAATTAGAATCAATAGAAGAAACTAGAAACAAACTTAATCATAGAAGAAAACAAGTTCTTTTAAAATTGTATAAAATGCAAAGAGAACAAAATATCGAATGAACGACAATTGTTAAACCTTAAACTACTTTTTCTATTATAATTTGTATTGATTTGTTTTAAATCTGTTTGTTTCGATTAAATTGTGATGTGATCGAAAAAAAAAAAAAAAAATTATTTTATGTTAAAATAAAAATTAAAATCTTAATGCTAAAACAAAATTTTCAATTCTTAATTTTAATATAATTATGATTAATCGAAAAGTTTTTGTGTATCAATTTCATTTTCATGAAAATTTTTCACATACTCATTTATTCATAGGAAAGTAAATAAAAAAAAAAAAACAAACAAACAAACGTAATGAACTGTGAGTTTTTCTGTTTGGATGCATTTATTAAAAAAAAAAAAAGTTATTATTGCTCTTATTTTTTTATAAAAAATTATTTTTACGATAATAATAATAATAATGGGATTTGTTTATTTAAATTATGACATGTATTTTTTTTTTTAATAAAGTCTTACACCCAAAATTGACATTACATAATTCGAAACTATTAAAAGTTTAACATCCTATCGTTACATAAGTCCAGCATAGATTTGGATCTTTACCAGCGGCCTTCGGATAATTGTTCGGTTGTTTCTTTTTTTTTTTTTTTTTTTTTTATATTTCAATGTAGTTTTGTTTGGCCAGTGGTTCACGTGGGATCAATTGTCGTCGACGGGTAATGACCATTATTTTGTACATCGCTCATAGGGTAAGATAACTTTTTTTTTTTTTTTTAACATAAAATTTATTTATTATTGAAAAATTTTTTTTTTTGTAAATTTTTGAATGAAATTTTTAAACTTATTTTTCGAGTGGACGAATTAAAAAAAAAAAAAAAAATTTTTTTTTTTTTTGGAAAAACTTCAGGCTTCTCAAAAATTCAGGTTCGCTTTTTAAAATGTTTACATTTTAAGACAAAAAAAAAAAAAAAAAATTTTCCACGCTTAATTTTTTTTTTTATCTTGTTACACGTTCAAATTTTTTTAATTCGTAAAATTAAAAATAATATTATTTAAATATATATATATATATAGTTTTTCGAAAAAAAAAAAAAATCTAACGGGTATGGCCTTGGAATGCCGGTCATCCAATTACCCGTTTAATAAATTTTAAAAAAATAATCAATTCTTTTCGATTATATAATTTCTCCCTATACGAAAAAAAAAAAAAAAAAAAAAAAAAAAAAAAGATGTTACCGATGGTTGTTGTCGTCCACTGAATTTAAAAAAAAAAAATTTTATCTTTCGATCTACCTGTTGTAACATCCTTTTATTATTATTATTATTATTATTTTACTTAATGAATTATTTCTCGTATGAATTTCTTATTTAAAAAAAATTCTCGATGAATTTTATACAATTAAATAGTTAGTTAATAAATAGAAAAAAAAATTAATTCGACATTTTTAGTAATGACACAAACAAACGAACAAACAAACGAAGAATCAAACAAACGAACAAACAAACGTTGTTTTTAAGCAAATTAGGTTTACTTTATAAGCAAAAAAAAAGGGGGATAAACTAAACTTTTATGTTTTTTTTTTTTTTTTTTTTTTTTGTTTTTAAGCTTTTAAATAATAATTTTTTTTTAATAATAAAATAATTTGATAAACAATTTTTCATCTGATTCGTGATTTAAACAATTATAAAAAATTTTTTATAAACAATGACAAAACAAAATTTAACATACAAAATCACGATAATTATTATTATTATTATTAAAAAAAAAAAAAGAAATCCTTGTTTTATCATCGGTAACAAATTACGTAATAAACGATACCTTTTTAAGTATTTGTATTTTTAAATTAAAAAAAAAAATTGAATAGTTTTATTAATAACGTAAATATTTTTTTAAATTAATAATAATAATAATAATAATAATAATAATAATAATAATAATAATAATAATAATAATAAAATCCCATTATTATTTAAAAGAAATCGTTAGAAATAATTAAAGAGCACTTTTTTTTTTTTTTAAATAAACAAACATTTTCGATTAATCGAAACGATTTAATAAATATATAACACTTACATTTAATTTTTAAAATGTTTTCCAATGAATGTGAAAACGTCAGGAATCCGTCGAAAAACTGCAAAAAAAAAAAAAGAAAAAGGTGAAAATTAATAATGGAAAGTACAAACGAATCATATAGACTAGTAATAAAAAAATTTTTGAAATCTTGCGACAAATTTCGTTGTCGCAAAAAAATCAATTGTCTTGTCAAACGGTTTTTTTTTTTGAATAATGTGAATATTATTAAATCGCATCGTATGCGTTTTAATAAATAAAAAAATAAAACGCAATTAATTAATTAATCAATCGATCGATAAATCGGTCATAGAATAAATAATCAAGTAATAATAATAATAATAATTAATATTTGTATAAAGAGATTTGCGAGTGAAAACCTAACGATGAACAAATTCTGGCACTGATTTTATTAGGTTTCATTTCCTTAATTTTTTTTTTTTTGTGACGTTTATACGTTGTAAATATTTGGCAAACTGTTCTACTTTGTCAAAAAAAAAAAAAAACAATAATTAAATGTTTCTTATAATAATAATAATAATATTTCTTAAAATAATTATTTCGATTTTTCATAAAATAATTTCGTAAAAATATATTTATTTAACTTAATTTTAAACGGGGTGTGTATGCGTGAGTGTGCGTGTGTAAAATTACACGTATTTGTAAAGATTTTTTTTTTAAAAGTAAAACGTCCATTTTAAAGATTTCATTTCAAAAAAAAAAAAACAACTTATTAAATATTATTAAAATGAATACACAAAAATTACACATGAGCCTCGAGCTCATAAAAAAAAAAAAAAATTTTTTTAAATTATTTTAATTATCGATAGAGGTCAGCAGTATTGCGCATAGGGTTAAAAAAAAAAAAAAAATATTCGTTTTTTTCCAAATTTCAGGTATTTTTTTTTTTTAACTACCCTGTTTTGTTCAGTAGATGCATTTTCATTAATTATAATAAATTTTAAAATGTAATAAATAGTTCGTTACGTAATTATTACCACGAATGTATTTGAATGTTTTTTTATTACCACTTAGTACGTAATTATAAACATGTCAAGAAAATTTTTATTGCATATGCACTTTGATTGAAACAATCAATCGTAAATCTTGTTAATGAACAAAAATTTTGTTTAAATATTAAAATAAAACGTAAAATTATCATCATTATCATTAAAAAAAAAAAAAATTAACACTTATGTGTTAAACGTTTCGTGTAATTGTGATATGAAAAGTTCTAATTAAAAAAAAAGTGAAAGCGTCTTTTATTTTCTTTTTTATCAATTTTTATTAGTCGTTATTATATTATTATTATTATTGTAAATATTGTCGAAATTGTATCGCTTCTGTTACGCGGGGTAAAAACTTTTGATTAGTTTAAAGCTTTTCCAAACCTACAATTGGAAATACAAAAAAAAAAAAAAAAATTTAATTATTCACGATTTGATGTTGTTTAGGTAGATGAAATTGGGAAATGAAAGTTTTAATTTTTCCGATATTTTTATTATTTACTTTCGAGAGTAATGGATACGATGAAAAAACAGGGTTGCAAACACAATATTGGCAATATGTTTCACTAAATGGATCATCACCACTTTTGTTTCACGGTATAAAAGCGTTGGTGAAAAATGAATCTTCATCCATAAGAAAACAATTCAAGAGCAATAAAAGTAGTAAATATTATAAATTTAAATTTTCCTATGGAGAAAAAATAAATATTGTTTTTCCTGTTGGTCCCCCAATGGACGATGATAAAATAATTTAATTAATTTAACAGGTGATAATTATCGAGAAGAATATCAAAAAGAATTAATTTCTTCTCGTTTACTATCGGTGATGCCGCCATTTGCTCTCACGAATGTTAAAAATTTAAAATGTCGACAAGACAGCGAAAAATTTTTAAACGATTTAAATAAATTTGATTTATGGGCTGTTAAAAGTAAGTAAATATATTTTGATTTTGAAAACAATCCAAATCCTTTGTTGTTGTTGTTGTTTGTCGATCAAAACAAACGAATTTTTTTTGTTTTTCCAGTGTACGATTCAAGTGGGAAAATCCCATCGGGTTTATTAAATGGTAACATTAATCAATTCGGAGATTTTGATCAATGTTTGAACATAATGGAACCTTCTTTAAACATAAAAGGAAAATATTGTCTTGCTTATTTTCAATTAAAACAAATCGAAGGTGAACCGACATCGAACGACATTAATAATATCTTCAAATTGTTGCAAAGTCATTTTTTTTTCAAAAGTGAATTAACAGACGTAAGTTTGATAAATAAAATCTCTCTGTTTGTTCCTTCCTTCCTTCGTTTGTTTGTTTGTTTTACGTAAATAATTACTTGTTTTACTTAAGCCCGGTCACAGAGTTCCGAGATTTTCCACATTAAATTGGGGTCTTTGCATACCGAATTCGTGTTCGTCCGATGATGTCGAAATACATCTTAAATCTTTGGCCGAAAGATATTCGAACGGTACAGGATTCGACGTGGAAGTTAAAGTCGAAGAAGAAATGTGCCAAGAAAATAAAAAATTCCAATTTTCCGTATCGTTTTTAATAGCAAGGTAAAAAAAAAATGTCCTCCTCCTAAAGTTAAAAATTAATCCAAAAATGTAAAGAACAAAATTTTTTGTTGTTGTCGTTGATTGACGTTTTTCTGTTTGTTTGTTTCAGTTGTTTGCTTTCGTTTGTCGTGATAATAACAATCGTGGCTACCTTGAATGATGTTTTCTTTACGCCGAAACAAACTCACGATACGATTTCACTAGAATGTTTTTTAAATTGTTTTTCCCTTAAGAGAAACATAAAAACTTTATTTAATTTTTCTAGAAGTTCCGACGATATACAATCCGTTCACGGGATACGTATGATAAATGCAATTATGCTTGTCTTATGTCATAAATCAATGGCTATGTTTTTCATACCTTATTCCAACAGGTACGTAAATATACCATGTAGGTAGGATGTTAAACGCGATGATGATATAACATCATATTGGCAATAAATCAAAATCATGTAAAAATAATAATTTGTGATCCGAATACGAATAAAATAACAAAAAAAAAATGTTTTTCCTTTTTGTTTTTGTTTTTGTCCATAATTTATTTTATGTATGGAAATTTCCAGGACTTCCATGGTTGAAAAATTATCACAGCCGTGGAGCATAATTGCAAGAATAGCAAGTTTATATACGGATTCATTTATCATGATTAGCGGTTTATTAACTTCTTATTCCTTCGTAAAAACTTTAAATAAAACTGGAAAATTAAATTTGAAAAGCGAATATCTCAATAGATTGATAAGGTGATTCATTGAAAATTTTTTTCCTGTTTTTTTAATCACGTGAAAATTATTTTTCACAATTGATAATTTTTCCTTTTTTTTTTTTTTTCCAGAATCGTACCTCCGTTAGCAGCCATAATTTTATTAAGTACTTTCATAATTCCAGAACTTGGATCGGGTCCTCAATGGAATTCGACTGTTTCACATCATGCTGATAAATGTAAAAAAAATTGGTGGAAAAATCTTCTTTTCATTCATAATTATTTCGGTTTTGAAAATATGGTAACAACACAAATGTTTGATAAACATTTTCCTCCATTACCACACATCCTCGTTGAAAAAAAATTTTTGTTTTTCCAGTGTTTGACCCACACGCATCACATGGGAATCGACACACAATTATTTTTTATTTCTCCAATATTTATTTATTTATTATACAAATGGCCGATTTTTGGTATTAGCAGTTTAATAGGAGTCGGTGCCATATCGACTTTTGCCAGATATAAAGCAACGATAGATAAAAATTTAAGCATATTCATATATCCTGGAATATCGTGAGTCTTCTTCCATCTCACATTAATTTCACATTAAAGTAATTTGTTAACTTTTAAAATTTTTATTCCAGAATAAGACAAATGTTCGACACGGCAAATTATTCTTACATAATACCGTTTCACAGATTGACATCATACGTCACTGGAATATTATTGGGATACGTTTTGAGAAAATATGGAAAAGAATTTAAAATGAAATCATCGCATTTGAGACTCGGTTGGACGGTTATGTTTAGTTTACTTTCATACGTTTTCACAAAAGCATACGAAATGAATAATTTAGGTTATAAAAATGATGAAGCTGGTATTTATGCTGCTTTGGCACCCATGACTTGGTCCTTTTTCATGGCGTGGATTATTTTCGTAACGGAAATCGGTTTCGGAGGTTTAAAAAAAAAATTTAAATTAAATCTTCATACTATTATTACTATTAACGAATCCTTAATAATTTCCATTTTTTTTCTTCCAGGAAGTTTTGGAAAATTTATATCTTCTAAATATTTTTTAATATGGACAAAATTATCTTATTCCGTTTATTTAACACAATTTCCGGTTTTTTTCTTCAACGTCGGAATGCAAAAATACAGTCAACAATATACTATTTTCCTTTTGGTGAATATTCCAGACGTTTTTGTTCATTCCAAAAAAATTAATTTTAACTTTAACTTTGATTTTCTTTTCATTTCCAGGCAAATTTTTTAGAATATTTAAGCATAATAATAGCATCCATTTTATTAACATTATTATTCGATGTACCCTTCGTTAATTTGAAAAAAATTTTAATACGAAGATGAACAATAATATAAAAAACGGTTAAAGTTTTTCTTTAACCGTCGTTATTCCATTCGTAGATGACGTCATCGTTGTCGTGTCAATAACGAAAAGTGTGTGTAATGTCTTGTGATACGTTCGTTCAACGTTTTCATTCACGTAAATTAATTTTTTTTTTAAAAATAAAAAAATTAATTGTTTGTTTGTTAATTTACAATAATAAAAAATTATAAATTTTTTCAAATGTTTTCTTCTTTTCTCCATTTTCTTTCATTAAACACCAAAAAAAAACCGTTAATTATTAAAACGCTCATTTTATTTAAAAAATATGACAAAAAAAAAAGAAAAAAAAACATTCGCGTCGAAAATTTCATTTTATAATAATAAAATACAAAAAGTGTAAAAAATTTTTTTTACTGCGTTCTACTATATAAAATAATAATAATAATAAAGAAGCCATTTTTTTTTTAAAAAAATTCATTTGTAATAATAATGATTTTCACAGTTTGAAATATTTTCACACAATTTTCCTTTTTTTTTTTTAAACAGTTAAAGCCCGGTAATTAATTAATAATACACGATATTATTATTATTATTATTATTATTATTATTATTATTAATAAAAAACGTTTTTTTTTAAATTTTATTTTCAAACGATTTTTAATAAATAAATAAAACATAATCAATCAACGGCTTGATTGATCATTCACATTCAAATTACCGAAAAAAAAAAAAAAATTTTCACAACCTTTTCCAAAAAAAAAAAAAAAAAAAAAATTAATAATAATAATAAAAGGCAATTTCATAATATTTTAATCATTTCGAACAAAATTCCTAATTACGGCACTGAACCAAAAAAAAAAAAAATTCTTTTAATTCGTGTGCGTTAAAAAATAATAATAATAATAATAATAATAAAAGTTTTTGTTTTGAGCTTATTTGTGTATAAAACCTGAGATTGGAAAAAATTTACCAAAAATTTAAATTAAAATTTTTTTACACCCTGATTTTCAAAATTGGTTTTGTTTTAATGTGAGAGAGAGAGAGAGAAAAGATCATAACATCACATTATGTACATTTAGGTATCAGATTAAAAAACCTAATGATTCTCTCTCTCTCTTTTTTTATGTATATGTAATTCAATCAAGCCGTTTGTAGAATTTTATATTTTTTAACGTTTTTTATTGAGGTGGAAAATAAAAAAAAAAGGCTTCAAACTTTTTTTTTTTTTTTTTAGATTCATACACATTACACACAATTAACTTATTGAAAATAATAATAATAATAACATTCATTCTCACAACAACAACACACCTAAAAATTAATTTTTTTTTTTTGTTAATGCCACAATACATTTAATAATAATAATAATAAAAAGTAAAACACTTAATGCAAAAGCCTTAAAAAAACTAAAAAAATTTTTCTGTGTGTGTGTGTGTGTGAATTATAAATTACATACAAAAAGATTCAGAAGAAACAATGATAATAATAATAATAAAATTGCATTCAATTATTAGTATTTAAAAAAAAAAAAAAAAAATCCTTAATAAAAATTATTCTCTTTGATACAAAGAGAATAATTTTTTTTTTATTTCTTTCCATTATTAATAAAAATATAAGCAAATATGTTTATATGTACACCATTATACTTAAGAATGAAAAAAAAAGAATAATAATAATAATTATTACGATAAAAACTTGTCACAAATTATTAGGCAAATTCATTTTAAAAAAAAAATCTAACGCATCTCACGTTTTCTCGCCTTTTTCCTATTCGCACGAGATTGATACAAATAATGATAATGTTTAAATAAAACTAATAATTTATATATATATACGTACTTTTTAAGTCTTATCATTTTATGTTACGCGATAAATAATTATTCCATTTTTCTTTATCGTCACAATAAAAAAAAAAAAAAAAAACAAACAGCAACAATCAAAAACCAAAAAAAAAAACTGAAAAAAACTAAAAACTTTTCTTAATCACGTCCATTCGTTTTACTTTTGAATTAAAAATGGCCGACTGACAATTGTTGTGAGTGCGCCACCGTCGACGCGCGCCTAACGGTTTTTTTCTCAACTTTTCTAGTAACATCCGTTACTGACGTATTTGTTCTTTATAACGCGAAACCGCGTTTGAATATTTCCGTTAAGGAATGTGTGTCGGGTTGTTTTCGTTCGAATGAATTTCCTTTTGAAATTTTTTTTTTCCTTTTTAAAACGATTATTATTATTATTATTATTATTATTTCGTGCTTTATAAACAAGTGAATTTTTTTTTTTTTTTTTAAATCTTTTCGTGCTGAAAACTGTAAAAAAAAAAATTAATTAATTAAATTCTACGATAAAATCAATGTAAAGATGTTTTTTGACAGATTGTTGCAAGTTTTTTTTTTTTTTTTTTATATACGCCAACCATTATTATTATTATTATTACTATTATTATTTGTACAATGTTTTAAAATTAAATTACTATATATAAAAAATTATTTTAAATACTGAAAATTAAAAAAAAAAATATATATATATATATATATATTTAAAAAAAAAAATTAGCATTCGAATTCTGATGCTGTTATAGCGTTGAGATCTTTCATTAGTCCTTCCAGGTTTGCCATTTCCTGGTTTAATTCTTCAGTGCTATATGAAGGCTGGAAAACAAAAAAAAAAAAAAAAAAAAACAAAAAAATTTTTTTTATAAAAAATATTTACCACCTCTCGATTGAAATCTTATTCATTATTTTCATGTTTTCCCCATACCTGCAACCTCGTCGTTTCTTCTATTGTACCTGGGCCACTTCTCAACTTAGAATTACTAGGAGAACAAGTTCCCATTATACCGTGAAGTCCAACTTTTTTGTACGGACTCGAACTTTGCAAGGGTCTCACTAAATTAATAAAAAAAAAGGAAAAGATGAATAAGCGGGGAAATTAGGATAAAAAAAAACGCAAAAAACAATTTAAAAAAAAAAAAAAAAAAAACACCGACCGACATGTTTTTGCTGTGGGGTGCTCGGAGCTGATTGCGGTGGCGGAGCAGGAACGCTGAAGCTTTTCAGGGGATGTCCCTGCTGTCTTTTTCCAAGCGTTCCATTATTATCGATATTAGTCATGTTGGAAGACGCCAACGAAGGCTGCATCGCGGTTTGGGATGTCAAAGGATTTTGACTGTTGAGTTGCAGAGGCCCGTTTCCGGTGCTGAAATAAAAAAAAATTTTTTTTTTTTTTTTGTCACGTCACGTCATAAAGAGCCACTTCGTTCCGCTCAAAGATAATATAGATACCTGTAAGTGTTGGCATTGGGCAAAATACTCGCCGTCGGAGTCAAAGTCCCGATACTGTCGTATCCGCTTTGAAGGGAATACGGATTTTCCAAACCCGTTCCCGATGTTGTTGAATCGAGGGTGATATGTGCTCTGTATTGAGTCCTCGGATACAAAGGTCGCCCCAATTCCGAACCGGGACTTTGAGTGAGAGGCGTGCCATTCGTCATGACCGGCTGAGCTATAGCTGTAGGAAAAAAACAAAAATATAATAATAATAATAATAATTACGTCATTTTTTTTTCTTTTTTCGTCCGAACCCCCTTTTCGAACAATGTGTTTTCCTTTTTTTTTTTTTTTTTTTTTAAATTTAATTAATTACTCACGTTGAGTTTCCATAGGTAAAGAAATCGGTTTGGGTTTAATAACCGTTCTTTTAATCGTTGATGTTTTTTCCTGTTGATCAACCGTGCAACCGCTACCTCCTAAACGAAAACAATAAAAGAGAGTGCACAAATAATGTTGAAGCAAGCAAAAATTTATCCATTTAAATAATAATAATAATAATACAAAATGCAAATAATAATAAATCCCATATTAAAATTCCCCTGGTTTTTACCTTCATGCAACCGAAATCAAACAGTCGAAAGCAACAGTCACGATTTATTCCAGAACAGCCGATAAAACATTCAACTTGAATTTTCGTGGTGGGGGCAGGAGGGAGAGGGGGAGGGGGAAGAAAAAAAAAAAGAATTAAATAAAAATTAAATAAAAATGATGATGATGATGATTATGATGATGGCACAGTTATTTAAAATTTCATTATGCATAAATATATAAGCATGACTAAGCATTTAAAAAAAAAAAAAAAAAAAAAAAATGGAAGCGAAACTTATTGCTTGCGAATGTGATTATGAGTAAATTAAAACAACCAGATAAACAAACAATAAAAGTCACGTGTTGTTATTAATAAATTATTAATTATGAAAACCTTACCGACGTAACTTGGCAGGTACGTTCTTTTATCTAACGAATTTGTATGATCCACGACGTCGTTCGTAGTCTGACCCGACCCGTTTCTTCCGAGCGTGTTCATTTGCGATCCCGAACTGCTCGGACCTGAAACAATAAACAAATAAATAAATAAAAATTTTCTTATTATTATTATTATTATTATTTAGAAAACCGATTAAATTTACCAATGTCGGAATTGCTGTGATGAGATTTCTCAAGAGCTTTTAATTCCATTTGATCGTGATGAATCCAAAGGTCTGGAGGTTTCATGCTCGTTTTGGGTTTTAAATTACCCTTCAGGTATCCGCTCGCGTTACGACTCCGAGCGCTCGCTCTTTTGCAACAAATTATTCCAATGGTCAAAGCAACGCAAAGAACGGCGACGAAAGAACATATTAAAATAATGTATATTATTTTCGAAAGGGGGCGACCGTCTGTAAAAAAAAAAGAAGAAAAGAAACATAAAAATTTGAAAAAAAAAAAAAAAAAGGGGAAAATCGAAAAGGAAAATTGTTGATTGATACCTTTTCCGAAAAGAGTGCTATCGCTGGACGACGGACCTCCATCGAAAGTTTTAAATGAAACTTTGGTCGATAGGGGACCGTATCCTTTGCTGTTACGAGCTTGAATTTTAAAATAATACGTCGTGCTCGGTTCTAAACCTTTTATCACCGCCGTCAGTTTATCACCGACTATATTTTGTGGGATCCAGTCTTTTTCAGGTAATTCGTAATCGGTCGTATAAAAAATTACGTAGCCTGGAAAATAAAAAAAATACTCTTATTGCATTTTATACCCTACATACGATTTTATTAATTGTTATTATTATTGTACGAACCGGTAATTAACCCGTTGGCTTGCTTGGGAGGTTGCCAATTTAAATTTACGTGCGTTGGATTTTTTTCCACAGGCACAACGGTGAGGTCTCTGGGCGCCGATGAGGGTATGGCTTCGAATGTGGTATTAAAAACCACCATGGACCATTTGCTCTCGCGACGACCCTGTTATTAATAAATATTAGAGAAAAAAAAAAAAAAACAAAATTACCCAACTTATTCTCACGAAAATCAAAAAAAAAAAAAAATTTCCGGCGTACCTTTAATAGTTTAACGCTAAATTCATATTGCGTGTTGGGTCTGAGATCATTTATCATGCAATTTGAATTTGTTGTCGTGACAAATTTAGGCCGGGGATTCGAATGATGAGCCCACGAGTATTTAACCGAATAAGTTCTATCGTCGGCAACCTAAAAAAAAAAAAAAAAAACATGAACGTACATATCCGTTCGAATCAAAAAAAAAGAAAAGAAAATCGGTTATTTTTTTTTACTTGGACTCTTGTCGGATCCGTCCAATGAAGGATAACACTCGAGGATGATAATACGATCGCTTTTAATCCGACCGGCGGTAATATGGTCATTTCATCTTCGTTTGGCGGTTCTTCGCGAGTTCTAACCGACACGTAAGCCGGTGAACCATCGCCCATTGCATTATACGCTCTTACAGCTATGACGTATTCGGAACTGTTTGCTGCGGAAAAAATGATAGATACCTCGTTGAAAGTAAAATAAAATTCGTGAAAAAAAAAAGATTTTTTTTTTTTTTTTTTATTTACCCAAATTTTTAATATTAAAACTTTGTTGTTTCCCTTCTAAAATCTCCGAAAAGGTATACGGGAAACCCTTTCCCCATCCAATGTTGTAACCGCGAACCATAACGTTCGGATCTTTCGGTGGTCCCCACGACACTCTTATGCTGTCCGAACTTGGCCTTGCTATTACATTTGTCGGCTTATCGGGAACCTTATAAGGAAGTTTTTTTTTTTTTTTTTTAAATTTAATTTTTACCAACCACGTGCTTTAGATGAGGATTATAAATTATTAAACCAAAAGTTAATCTTAGTTACCTTAGTTTCATCCAAATCATTTTTGAACGTTTCCACGGTTATCCAGTCCGTGGGCGGTCCCGTGCCATTCACGTTCATCGCCCAAATTCTCACTTGATACGATGAACCTTTTTCTAAATCGGACAAAACGTACAATCTCCTATCTCCGGCAGCAGTAACGGTGAAACCTCTTTCTCCCCTCTCGCGGCGATTTTGTTTTTTATACCTGAGCTTGTAGCCTGTGATTATTCCATTTTGACCATCTTTCGACGGCGGTTCCCATCTTACCACAATGCTCTGAAAAAAAAAAAAAAACAATTTTTTCATCTTTGTGATTAAGACATATGTATTAAAATATTTCCTTTGGATCCATGTTTTTTTTACTAACAGTTGAACTTCCTGGTTCGACGGTAACGTTTTGCGGGGGTTCTGAGGGTACATCCGACAAAGTTCTCGTGACAACTTCTTCGCTCGCACTTCCCATACCATTTTCGTTCATTGCAATGACCCAAAAACAATATTCAGTAAATTTATTCAAGTCCGTGACTTCAATGGACTGTTGAGAAGTTAACATATGGTTTTCATTGGAAGAATCACTTTCTATAAAAAGTAATTTGTATTTCAATATGGCTCCGTTGGTGACCGCAGGGGGTTTCCATTCTACGATAATTGTAGTCGGACTTGTCGCATAAGCCTGTTATTAAAAAATAAATTAAAAGTTATTATTTAACAATTAATATTTTCTTATTATCTCCCCCTTTTATTATTTTTTTTTTATTAGTCATTTTCAAATTATCAAATTAAAGAAAACTTACATTTATTCCCAGGGGGGCACTAGGCACGTGTACTTCCGTCTCCGTTTTTACAATCAAATCCTCGCTGCTCGGTCCAGCACCGTGAGCATTGTTAGCGACTATTCTAAAATGATAGGTACGATCGGGTTGTAATCCGGGAATAGTAATTTCTTCCGAACGAACCCCAGAAGTATTTAAAACGCGTTCCCTACAATTAAATAAATAATGGTGACAACAACGTCATATACAAAAAAAAAAAAAAAAAAATTTTTTTTTTAATTCGCTACCTTTGAGATCCTTCCTGTCGGAAAAATACCGAATATGATGTAATTTCACCATTTGTGTGAGTTGGAGGCACCACTTTCAATGTCACCGATCTGCTGGACGTGTAAATAACTTCAACAGCTTGCGGTGAAGAAGGCACCAGTCCGATTCCCGAAGAATCTGTTACTGTAGAGTCAGACGAACCTAAATTATTATACGTTTTAAACTCGTGAGATTTTTCAATTGAATTACCAATTTTTTTTTGAGGTTTTCCCGATATAGAATTGGTTAGGTTAGCATGCAGAGATAATGAGGTATCGTAGTCGTCGTCGTCCATGTCATCTTCGTATTCATCGTAGTCTTCGCTCAGTGTATCTTCATCTGCTTTTAGAGGGAAAGGAATTCTTTTTTCTCCGTCGGATTTTGATTTGTCCCTATTATTCCCGAACCCTTGATGATTGTCTTCTTTCATTCGCGTGAGGGAAATCGATGGGAAAATGTGATAGTAAGAACGAAGATGCAAACGAAAAAAAAAAAAAAAAAAAAATAAAATAAAATAAAAAAAACGAAAATAAACAAAAAAACAAACAAAAAAAAAAAAATAAAAATAAACAAAAATAAATAAATAAATGTGCAACCTTCGAATTCGATTAGACTTACAAGGAAAATTCGTGTTGTAGATATCATAATAATAATTATTTAATCAAATTTGGAAAAACATCAAATTAAAACGTCAAACAAAATTAAATAAGTATGAGTAAATATTTTTCAACCAACAAATAAAAAATGAAAAAGTGAAAATTGTCACTCAAACAATCAATCAATCAATCAATCAATTAATGATTAACAACGTACCTGGTTGAAGGACGGTGAGCCTTGCAGCAGCCTGTACGTTACCGGCAGCATTTACTGCCACGCATTGAAATATCCCCGCATCCAATTTCATAAGTCCAAGAATTTTAAGATTGTACCCGTTGACAACTTGTAGATAATCGTTGTCCGTTATAACTTCGCCATTTTTTAACCATTGAATTTTCGGCTCGGGTTTTCCGTAAGCTTGACAAACGAGTTCGACATCTTGTTTTTCGTACGCTATCGTATCTTCCGGTACTTTTAAAAATCTCGGCGGAACTGAAATTAAAAAAATTAATGATCGGATCAGTTTTTAAAATACTTTATTCAAAAGATAGGTATCGAGGGGAAGGAAGGATTGTTTAAACCAACCTTGAACGTGTATCGTGGCGGGAGCATCAACGCTATCCTCTCGATTTTCCGCTCTGCACTGATAATTTCCAGAATCTTTTTCCGTCACGTTGACTATTTTTAAACTACCGCTACCCAGTTTGAAAACTCTACTTCCTATCTCGCTGATAAGAAAAATAAAAAAAAAATTAAATTATTAATGTTCTGGGCTCGACGATGTTTTGTAAATTTAAAAAAAACTCACGCCATGTCGATGGCGACACCATCTTTAAGCCAAATAAGCCACGGCCTCGGATAACCGTTTGCCGCACAATCTAAAACGATTGTTTCTCCCTCTCGAACGACCATAGATTTTGGTTTTGTGATGAATATTGGTGCCATGACGTTGGAACTCGCATCTGTAAAATTTAAAAAAAAAAATTTTTAATGAACGATTCTCGTTCTTTGATAAAAAAATCGAACCGAAAAAAATTTTCAACGCATACCCAAATCGGTATCCATGGTCAATACGGCTTTATTACTCAATTTAAATATTCCTAAACTGGAAGCGTTGCATCTGTAACTTCCCTGATCCGAAAATTCTACTTCGTCTATTTCCAAAGAACCTTCGGAACAACAACAACAAAAAAAAAATTTTCATCGTACGACGGACATCACGTTAAATGCACAGTTAAAAAAAAAATAATAATAATAATAAATACCAGATGGCATTAAAACCATTCTCGAAGAATCCATCGAAAGGGGTTTTTCATCTTTGAGCCAAACAAAAGAATATTTCAAAGGACCGTTCATTATGCAACTAAAATGTGCCGTTTGATGAGGGAAAACGCGAAGATCTTGCGGTTGAGTTTCCAAGCTGGGAACCAAACCTGCGGCAAAAAAAAAAACTCAACGTTCATCTCATAAAAATATACATTTATTAATCTTAAACATAAATCTTTCACATCACGGATATAAAAGAATCCGGCAGGGGGGAGCGGGGGGGCGATATTAAAACGTTTCAACCGCGATCCCTTTATTTTATTATTATATTTTCGCCCTTTTGACAGGAAGCAGGAACGTATTCATAATAAAGAAATTACAAATATATGTATGAGATTAACTTAATTATACTAATTAGTTTGTTTTTTTTTAAATTTCGGGTGGGGAACCGTTGCGGTCGCCTTCGGTTAATTAAAAAGACTCGCATTGTTTCTTGGATAATTTTCTTTAATTGACAAATTAAGGGGGCGGAATAACAAAAAAAAAAAAAAAAAAAAGCGGAAGACCGGATGAACGGTTTGCACCTAATTAAAAAATAAAAATAAAAAACTTTTTCTTCTGCTTCTTCTTACCCGCAACTTGAACTTTAGCTTTCCGACTTGCCATCAAACCCACGGACCCGATCGTGGCAACACATTGATAGGTACCCTGTGCTTCGTTCGAGGCATGTGGAATCGTTAATGATCCATTGCTGTGAAAAATCCTAATGGGAGAGAAAAAAGAAAACGGGAAAAAATATTAAAAAAAAAAAAATGAAAATTTATATCATTATTATTATTATTATTCGAGAGAATGTAATAAAATTATATGTACGTATAAATTTTTTAAACCTCCCCCCCCACCATATTTATTAAGTTAAAAATAAAATGAATCTGAGGTTAACGTTTTCAAAAAAACGGGTAAATGTACTTTCTGTTGGGAAAACTTTCAAAACTTCTTTTCTATTATTATACTTCTTTCCCCTTTTTCTCTCTAACTTGATATTGAAAGCTTTGAAGAGACGAACATAAAAAAAAAAAAAAAAGAAAAAACCCTAGAGGGTTGTTTTTGTAACTTTCTCTCTCCCTCTCTCTCTCTCTCTCTCTCTCTCGACATTTTACCCCGAGAATTCATTTTTACAAATGCACATAAAATCATCCCCGAATTGCAGATAATAATTTTCAGTATAATAACGACTCACAAAAAGACTCGTTTGAGTTTGTCCCGGTTTCACCCGTAAAATGGTTTAATGCTTATGATAAAATTAAAAATGGCGGCAGAAAATGCTAAAGAAAGATAGAGAGAGAGAGAAAATGTTATTACACTTTTACTCCCTTACCTTAGGCTCCCGAACCAAAAGCCCGAAACACACAATTTTTATATATTTATATATTTTTTTCTTTCTTTTTCTCACTCCTTCACTCCTTCACTCACTCACTCACTCACTCACTCTCTCTCTCTTTCTCTCTTTCTCTCCTTACTTAAACAGAAAAAAATGTTTGTTATCACACCGTAACACTCCGAAATGCCAAATGCGATATAAGAAAAAAATCGATATTATACTCTCCCCTTCGGTCGAAAATATTTTTTTTTTTTTATCAAGAACAAACCTTTTCTGATCTCTGTCGTTAAAATAGGAACTGTCGTCGTCTCCTCTCCACCTTATGAAAACTCCTTCGGAAAAATCATCTGGTACGTCGACTTGACAATTTAACGTCACGGATCGTCCCGTCAACGTGACCACGTCCGAAGGTTCGATTTTGAATTGAAATTCTCGAATCCCTGCAAAAAAAAAAAAAAAAAAAAAATTATCAATATTATTATTATTATTATTATCTTTTTAAAAGGTACTCCTTGTTGGCAGTTAGTCATTATTTTCAATCGATGTAAAAAAAAATTTACAACATCCGTGAAAATTCGTCACGGAGAAAGAAAGAAAGAAATAAAAAACGTTAAAAGCGAGACACTCGGCTAAAAGTGATGGGGAGAGAAAAAAAGAAAAAAGATTGGAGGAAGGGGGGGAAAAAGGGGTGACAGGATATGACAAAAGAATTGTGTTCCATTCTAATTGAATAACAAAAGGTAATAAAATAAAATAAAATGAAATGAAAAAAGTAGATTTTTATTGAAAAAGTAAATTTTTCACATAAAAAAAAAAAAAAAAACTTTCCTTTTTTCTATTTCGGATTTAAATTAAAAAATCAAAATGGCGTCGGAAAAACCGAAAAGAGACGTTGTTAATACGTTCGGAAAGTTATTACGGGGGTGGGGGAGGTGTGGGAAGTGAGGGGAGGTAAAAAAAAATCAATTTTCCAAGAAAATGATAACTTTTCTTATCATCGGCCTCGAAATATAACGAAAAAATCTTAAATTGGTATTTTACTCGTTAAATCCGACAGGAAATGAACGACGCAAATGATATACCAAAATGAAAATTCTTATATATATAAATTTTCGAATTTAGAAAAGAGAGAGAGACTGAGTGAGAGAGAGAGAGAGAGAAAATTCCAAAAAAAAATTTTTTTAAAAGCATTTTTCAAGCGACGTTCTGTCGCAAAAATTTCATTAGGATTATGTTGTACGCATTTAAACAAAAAAAAAAAAAATATATTTTCTGGAATTTTTTTTTCTTTCTTTCTTTAATGAAATTACGAAAAATAAAACAAAAAAAAATTTTTATTTTTATTTATTTATTTTGAAACTGTTTCAAAACATTTTAAAAACGATTCGGGATTTTATAAAAAAAAATTATCCATTTGACTCGTTTAATTTTTTTTTTTCTTTTTTCTTCTCCTTTTTGGAATTTTGTCTGTCTTCTTTTTTTTTCACTTTCTTTTTATTATTATTATTATTATTACTATTATTATTATTATTATTATTATTACTATTATTATTATTATCGTTTTTAAAACAGTATAATTAAATAGTTAACAAAAGATATATAATTTTAAAGACATTAATAATTACATAGCTTTACAAAAGACCAAGAAATTATTTTTAAAAAAAGTTTCGCCTTTCTTTCTAATTCATCGAATTGTCATCATCATCATCATCATCGTCATTACGATCGAAAACTTTAAAATTGCTACGTCATCAAATTGCCGCTACTTTTTGACCTTTTTCGACGCTCACTCCCCCCCCCCCCGTTTCTCTCTCTCTCTCTCTCTCTTTCTTATTAAAAAGCAAAAACGTTAATTTGAATAACTCGAAAATATAAGAGTTAGTTAGAGTCTCTCTCTCTCTTCTTTTGTTTCGCCACCGATCGAACCTTTTTTTTATTTTACTACCAAACGACAGACTCAAACAGATTCAAATTTCGATCATTCATTCCCCCACCCCCCCAAAAAAAAAAGAAAAAAAAATTTTCCAGGAACTTAATATCGAGGAACGCGACTTACGAAGAGTTGCACATCTCGCGTAACTTTTTTTAGGCGCGTCTACGGTTATAATAATAACCTCACGGAGGGAACGCGGAGGGAAAAAAGAAAAGTCGATCGATCGAACGATTCGATTAATCGAAATGAAAATTTTTTTTTTATTTTTCCAACGAATTTGAAAATTTGTATAATCATTTTTTTCTTCCCATCTCATTGTTTCCATTCCTTTCCTTTTCCTCCATAATAATAATAATAATAATAATAATAATAGAAAAACATCTGCCGTATAAAAAAAATTAAGTTTAACTAACATTTTTCGGGGAGAAAAGGGGGAGAGAGAGAGATAGATAAAGATAGAAAGAGAGAGAAAGAATATTACAATTAAATTTAATTATTTATTTGTTCTTAATATTAATTTTCTCTTTTTTTTTTTTTTTTTAATCGTCAATTTATGTTAATTTTATTTCTATTTTATTTTTTTCTCTGATTCTTTCAATTTGAAAATTATTGTTTACGCCTTTCCATTGTTTTCAGAAAAACCGCCGCCATCTTTTTATTTCTTTACTTCGAAAAAAAAAAAAAAAAAAAATTTTAATTGAATTATTGTTTTCCTTCATTTTTAATATTATTATTTATTTTTTATTGATTTTTTTTTCCTAAAAAGTAATTTAAAAATTCAAACGGCGATCGGACCCCATTAACAATACCGGATAATAATAATGATAACAATAAGAATAAAAAAAAAAAACAAAAAATAATAATAATAATAATAATAAAAAGAAAACAATAAAACTTAACGAGTGACGACGACTTCGAAGGAAATTAATAAATTTTAACGCATTACAATTATTATTATTATTATTATTATTATTATTATTTGTTTTCCACACACGCTCTCGGAAGGATCTCTTTCGATAATTAATTAGACATTCAAAGTTTAAAAAAAAAAAAAAAAAAAAACGCGCCAAATTTAAAAATAAAATTAATATAATTCCATTTCCGTCGGGAAAAAAAGAAAAAAAAAATTTTCCCCATTTTATTCGGTGGGTGTCGAATTTTTCCCCCTCCCCCCGACTTCTCTTTTCATTTTTTCCCTTTCATTCTCCATTTCGACACGCTTCTAAATTCATTCGATAATAATAATAATAATAATAATAATAATAATAATAATAATAATAATAATAATAATAAAAACCTAAAAAAATTGTTTTTATTTCTTTCACATTCCCTCCTCTTCCTCTTTCTCCTCCTCCTTCTTTCGTATTTCCTTCCCCCGCCCGCCCTCCTCCCCTGGGGCATAAAAATTTTGATCTTTTAATGCACTCACACATTCGCTTTTTCACATTTTCACATTTTATTTTCGCGCTTCGGCTTAAAAATTTCAAAATGGAAAAAAAAAAACGGGAGGGAGGGGGAAAGGGGAGGGAGGCGATAGGGTGGGGGAAAAAAAATAAAATAAAAACAATAAAAAGAATATATACGAATAAAAAAATTTTCGCCCCATTTTTAATATAAATACAATCGTTCTCCTTAGTAAAAAAAAAAAAAAAAATTTTTTTGTCGTAACTTATTATCATTAATGTTTTTTAATTTTAATTCCCTTTTCCCCCTCACTCACTCTCCCGCCCCCGCACCCCCGAAATTTTCGATTTCATTAAAATCATTTCCTTGTTGTTATTAAATAAACGTGGCTCTCTTCAACTGTTTATTTTCTCTCTTTCTCTCTCTGTTTTCCCCTTTCCTCTCCTAATTAAAATCCCAAAAGAAATTTGTGCCATATTGTATTTCTAAGCCAAACCCAGGCACGTTTAATTTCAAGCACGCGCCTTACAAAAAAAAAAAAAAAAAATCACCGCAATTAATCAAAACTCGAACGTATTTTTTTTTTTGGTTTGGTTTGTTCCTCGTGTTTGTTACGGGGAGAGAGAGGGAGAAAGAGAGAAAGAGAGGAAGAGAGAGAGAGAGAAAAAGTCTTGTTTACATGTTTATTTCGAAATCATCGCATTTTAATTATTCCCATTCGAAAGTTGTTGTTGTTGTTGTTGTTATCGTTGTTGTTGCTGTTGTTGCTGTTTTGCTTTGTTTTGTTTTTTTTTTTTTAATGTTTTTGCGAAAAATTTCCCCGCTCTGTTTATTTACATCGTCCGCCGCCATTTTATTACAAAAAATTACAACAAAATAAAATTTTTGAATCGGACGGTGATGATGACTACACGAGGGAAAAGTAATTTTTTTAAAAAAACCGAATTTATTATTATTATTATTATTATTACTATTATTATTATCATCATCATTATTGTTATTTTTAAAACATTTTATTACCGAAAAAAATCGATTTCGAACGAATCGATATTAAAAAAAAAAACGAAACGCAGGGAATGAATGAATGAAATTAAAAAATAATAATAAAAAATTAAAAGCGTGTGCCAGCCAGCGTGTGCGTGAACAACCCCCTCCCCTCCCCCTAAAAATAAAAAATTTAATACATTAACATAATTTTCACCCTTTGATGCTTTCCCTCTTTCATTTTTACCCCTCACCCCACCCCCCAACTCGCGATATCAAATTTTAACGTGAATGCGTGCGTGCGTGCGTGATTTTTCCTTTTAAAATAAAATTTTCAAATTTTGACACACTAATAATAATAATAATAATAATAATAAGAAAGGGAAAATTGAATTCAAAGGATCCTTTTTATTTAATTTTTTTTTTTCTTTTCAACTCTTTCCTTTGAATAAAAAAAAAAAAAAAAAAAAAAAAAAGTTTCCTTTGT